ACCGGACCGACGTACTACGTCGTACGCGACTAGTAGTACGTTAGGTACGTAGTGGTAGGTAGGTACGTACTACTACTCTTCGTCTCTGTGTGTGTGTGTTCTTCTCTCTCTCTCTCTCTCTCTATATATATATATATATATATATATATATATATGCGCTCACATGCCACACACATGCATGCATACATACATGTGTATGTATGCATACGTGTATGCGCGCATACGTGTGGAGCCATTAGATAATTATGAGATTCTTTACTTTAACAATTTATTCTTACAATATGTTTCAATCGATGCTTACTTCCTTTCCTATGTCTTCAATTCTTCCCATGATTACAAATAATTTTTGGAGCAAAATAATGTTCTTGTTGTTGGGTTAAGGTTCAAATTTTTATTTAGTTACCCCTTATGGAATATTTTATTTGTTACTTTATGCTGATATCAAACTTTTGCTCTTTTGCATAGCATCAACCAGACAATTTCTAAATATCACAGAGCCAAGGGAACCCTCAATCAAAGCGATCAACGTAGCAGCACGGAGGTAAGTGTAAGTGTTATATATGAGAAAGAGAGAGAGAGAGAGGAGGCGTTCACAGCATCAAGTTGGGATTCGAACCCGGGAACTTGATGTGTGACCATGACGGCAACTTAAGCCATCATGGAGGTAAGTGTTATAATAACCATCATAAGAATATGGAGAAGTGTTGTATGCGTTGAGGGTCTATATTTAAACCCCTCAGAGGCATAAAACATCCATCTTAAAGATATATGTGTGGTCCATTTAAAACAAGTTAAGACCAATGGTGTACATATTCTTTTCATGAAATTATTATTTTTAATTTTTAAAATTTATTTATTTTTCATATTCATGATCTCCATGTTATAGTTTATATATTCCATAAAGTTTAAGTCCTAGATCAATCTGCAAAAATGGATGTTTAGGAGGGGACTCATTTCTACATGAGTCGTAGGACTCATAGAAACCTTGTCCTAAAAATATTATCATGAGCTCTTCTATAGGGTATCGACATTACAGCACGTAGTGGCCAAGTCCACTCAGTCACGGGCCGAGGCTGAGTTGGGGTGAGTTCCATGGCAATTTGCGTTACCTTTGAAATGAAGGGGAAAAAAAAATGTAAATAAAATAAACTAAAATTGAAAGTGCCATATTATTATTTTTTAAATAGAAAAAATCATTATTTACACAACATTATTAAGCCAGAGTTAAAGAGTGAACACGTGTCATGAAAATAAGTAGGGGCCTTAGTTCTATAGAGATTGTATGATTGGTTCCCTTTTTTAGGAGAAGAGAAATAGTTGAGTATGCACCTAATATAGAGGGAAAAAGCTAACAGTAGTTGGGCAGCTATAGTAAATAGTAATATAGGTAGAATCTCAGCCATCAAATCTTCATCATGTGGTTTAGAATGCATGTCACTATATGAATTTTAATATTTTTTTCTGAAAATCGGATCATAATGAAAATTTGGACGTGTGTACTAAAAAATAGGGCGCACAATTAAAAAATATATAAAAAATATTTTCCAAAATATAAAATGATTGAAATATCCCTGACAAATAAAGGGGCTAATTTGGTCATTTTAAATGATTGAAAATACATTTTTTATAGTTTTATATAGTGGGCAATTGTGTTAGGTATATACATTCAAAATTTCATCTTAATCTGATTTCTAAAAAACATATTAAAATCCATGTAGTGATATGCATTCTGAACCACATGATGGAGATCTACGGCTGAGATTCTACTATATTACTATTTATATAGCTGTCTAGCTATTGTAAGGTTTACTCAATATAGAGATATTTATACTACATTATTATTTTAGAGAGTCACTTTCTTATAACAATGCATGTAGAGAGAGATGTCTAGAGAGAGATAGAGATGTGGAGAGAGATAAGATCTTATCTAGGGAGACTTCCTGAAGAATTGAAACATGCATATCTTTGGAAATCTTTTGTAAACTATCGATGAGTTGTACGGGCCTTCTTCTTCCTTATTCGTAGTTCTTTATCTTTATATTATTCCTAGCATGTTGATATATGGATATCGTTGAAGGTTCGATGAATGCATAGCTCTTGAAATTCCCAATTATGCTTTCTCTCTCTGCAGATTTTAGTGGGTATAGTTTGCTGCCTCTATTTCCAAAACATGAGAGAATACACAAGATTTTTCTGAAAACTTGAATGTTCAATAAGCAGTCCCACATTAGTTCTAATTTCCAGATTTATAGGATATGTTAATCTTCTGAGGGGTTCTTCTCTCTAATGGTCGCATAGGGTTTTCAAGGCTCTAAAGGCCATGAGACCTCAACCTTCAGTCTGGTGGGCTTTTTAATGGCCAACTCTTTATTGACATCATTGCTGATTTTAGGGAGCAATTGGGATTTTTTTAGGGGAAATTGGCTAAGTCTTGCCATGGTTATGATCTCTTCATCGACGGTGCAAGTAATGATATTGTGTGATGGGTGGTGTGTGCAAGGCTCGAGAACGAATCAACCGCCGTGTGGCTGACCGACGATTACTAGCGATTCCGACTTCATGCAGTTGCAGCCTATAATCCGAACTGAAGACGGGTTTTTGGAGTTAGCCACCCTCGCGGGATCGTCCCTCTTTGTCCCGCCCATTATGGATTCTGCCCATTATAGCATGTGTATTGCTCAGAGCACAAGGGGCATGATGACTTGGCGTCATCCTCACCTTCCTCTGGCTTATTGCCTTCCTTTATCCAATTATGTGGATTTCATTTATTTTTAGGGTTTGGAATTTGAGAATTATGTGTTTATTTGAAATTGTGTTTTATTGAAGGTTACTTTGTTGGTTTTCTATATTTTTGATTCTACCTTTTACTGGTTTTGAGTTTATGTTATTACATTTTGTTGATACTTAATTTGATGATGCAATTCCTATTATTTAATGTTTCACAATGGAAATCACCGGAGATGCATTTTTGTTTTAAACGATTTTTTGTTATAGAGATTGATTGCTTAAAAATTATGATTTTTATTTGAGAGGTGGTTTCTTTGATTACTTCTTGATGCTCAATTTGATGACGCAATTCTTATTTTTTCGTGGTTCACATTGGAAAGCACTTGAGATGCATTTTTTTCTAAAACTATTTTTTGTTCTAGAGATTGATTGTATAGCGCACCTTAAAATAGATTTGAAAAAAGGGTTTCAATACGGGAAATCTTTGTGATTAGATTGTACTATTTCCAAAACTTAAAAATCATTTTTTTCTCATGTCCTTGTGTCTTGATGTCGAGATGATCAATTTGAGGATATTTGGGCATCAAAACCTATACTATTGAAATCTTTGAGGTGGGCTCTAATTTGATTGTTTGATTGTTTAGAGCTGCAGCTCTATATAAACGTTTTTCATATATATATATATATATATATATTACCTTCTTTGATCTCCTAATAATTTCTACCTCTTATTTTTTCCTTATTTTTAGCTATTTTTAAATTATCTTTAATTTTTTCTAATCTATTTTGACTTTTTATTTATTTATTTATTGTTGATAATATTACGAAATTTTATTGATATGGAAAGAATTACTATACACTCAAACAAGAAGGTGTTCATTTACAGCATTTGTCAATTGTCCCGGATAAAGAAGCCCAATGCTTTGTCAATCCATTTGCTATATCATTTGGTGGGCTCACTAAATTGTAGCCCTCTCGCAGGGATGTTGATGCGTGCAGCAGATCGTGGATACATGGAACACGTAATATACCATATTTGATGTGTGTATATGAGTGGGAAAACGTGTAATAAAACAAATATAGAAATAAATCTTATAGGCGTTAAGATTTTACGTGAATCACCTTTTCAGGTTATGTTCTCAGCAAAAAGCGACGAATGCACTATTAATTCAACGGTTACAGTAGTCCTCCAAGAAATATTTCTTAGGATCACTGATTTCTTCTAGAGACTTATCTCTCTAGGTTTTCTTTCTCTGATGTTCTATCTTATAGACTTCTTTTCTTTCTAGATGCTTTATTTCTTTAAAAGAGAATGTTCCCTCTTTCTTTCATTTTTCTTCCCTTCTCAATTTTCTCTCTCAACCGACTATCTTTCGTCTTCTTCTCTCAGAAGAAGGATAACTCTCGTCTTCTTCTCTCTCTCAGAGAAGAATGATTCTCTCTGTTCTTATTTCTAAGAGAAATGATAACTTTCTCTCTGCTTTTTCTTCTCTGCAAAAGAAGGCTTATTGTATCGTTGATACACCAAGCAGAGTCTGCTTGAAATGGTCCAAGATAGTTGCACGTCAAAAAATGGCCCAAGAGAGATGCACGCCAAAAAATGGCTCAAGAAAGGCAGCTTCGGTTAAAACCCCAAGAGCAGAGGCTTTGTTTAAACTAACAACTAACCAAGAGCAGAAGCTTTGGTTAAACCAATCAAGAGCAAAAGCTACAAACCCCTCACGTGATTTCTTTTGTATAGGTCAAAGGGATAATAACCATAATTAGAAGTGTATGACATAATCTTTTAGAAAGGTGAGCTATCTCTATCTCTTTCTATAAAGAGATACGAGGAACTACCCATACCAAAACCATTACTTGAGATCCTATTTTGTATGGGATGATGACGAGGTCAACAAGTCATAATTTTTCACTTTTCCAAAATGCCCTTCTAAGAAAGAGCATGTTCCAAAGAAGTCCTCCCTCATGGGATAGACTTTCCCAACAATCTCCCCCTTAAGTCTCAAGAAGGAGGTTTCCTTTCGCAAATCAACCAGGTGCTCAAATGACACCCTTGCCAATCATGCTTTTTCATGACTGTTTCTTGTCTTTGGTCAATGTCTGTGTCATCATATCCGAGTTGCATATCCTTATACAATTTGGACTATCATACAACAACTCTCCCTGCAAAAGTAATCGAGTATCCCGAGATTGACTTCTTAGAATCTAGTTATCCAGTGATGTCTTCATTTGTAGTATACCCATGTAACATATGTTTTCTTCCTCCAAAGCACAAACACACTTTGGATGTTCCTCTGAGATACCTGAATATCAAATTGATTGTTGTCTAGTGTTCCTTGTTAAGATTAGTGATACCTGAATCTGCTCATAGTGTCACTGTCAGTCTATAGAGTCATCGGTAGTTAAAGTGATTCATTGTTGGTTAAGGTGGTGACTGTAACGGTTGATTGATCAATATTTTCTTAGCTTAGTGGTAATTCACTGTTGGTCAGATGACTAATGATGTGTTGGTCAATACTTTCTTTGTGCAGTGGGTACTCACCAACAGTCTTTAATTGGGCTCACCCCGCTTCCGCTGCGTATGTTTCCTACGACCGACCCATAGAGAACTTTCTGTATTTCTTTCTTCTTCCTCTTGGTTGAAAGGATCTCCTAGTACTTAACTTTCGTGCCTTTTTGCCTTTCGGCAACCTTACCAGGTCATATGAGTGATTCTTTTGCAAGGATATGTCTCATCTTGCATAGCTTTATAACCTACACCCCTTTATGTTTGTCGGCCTAAATTCATGATAGGTTTCTGGCCCACCCCTTTCAGTGTAT